GGGCATCCTGTAACACATAGAAGTTGGACTAAAATACTTGTTATAGTAGAAGGACTATACTCTATGGAAGGAACGCTTTGTAACATTCCAAAGCTAATTGAACTCAAAAGAAAGTATAAATTCTATATTTTCTTAGATGAAGCACATTCAATTGGTGCATTAGGAGATAATGGAAGAGGAGTAGTAGAACTATTTAATCAAGATTTTTCTATGGTTGATGTTTTTATGGGAACTTTTACAAAAAGTTTTGGTGGCTCCGGTGGTTATATAGCAGGAAAGAAGAACTTTATAGACTTTCTTAGGTTTTATTCAGACTTTTCTTTATTTGGAGAACAATTATCACCTGTTATTTCTGCACATGTTTTAGATGCTCTTAGAGTCATGCAAAGAAGACCACAAATACGGAAAAGGTTGAAAGAAAATGTTCAATACTTTAGAAAATCTTTAATTGACAACGGATTTGTTGTGTTCGGTCAGGATGGCTCCCCTATAATTCCTGTTTTGATATATAATCCTGGAAAGATAAGTGAGTTCTCAAGAATGTGTATGGAAAGAGGGCTTGCTATTGTAGTAGTTGGTTATCCAGCAACGCCTGTTATAAGCTCAAGAGCAAGAGTTTGTATATCATCGAGACATACAATGGAAGAGATAAAATATGCTATAGAAGTCATTAAAGAAGTAGGATTCTTACTTGGAATGAATGTATTAAAACCTAAAAATGAATTAACTCTTAAATAAAATGGTTTATTTGAATTTTAAACATTATTATATTACAAAATAAGTAAATAAAAAATAATACAAAGATTGTTGAATGCTATTTTCTGTAGTAAGTTCGATAATTATTTAATTTTCTCATAATAGTAATTTTTTTATTTTTAAACCCCTCAAACATAATATGGAAGAAAAAATTATGAATGACCAACCAACATTAAACATAGGAACGATTGGACATGTAGCACATGGAAAGTCTACATTAGTCAGTGCGATAACCAAAGTCAAAACAATTAAATTTAGATCAGAACTTGAAAGAAATATCACAATTAAATTAGGATATGCAAATGCAAAAATTTATAAGTGTAATAAATGCCCAAGACCCCAATGTTACCAGGCCTTTAATAGTACCTCACCTAAAACCATGGAATGTAAGTGTTTAGGAACTCTAACTCTGGTTAAACATGTTTCATTCGTTGACTGTCCAGGACACGATGTTTTAATGGCTACCATGTTGAATGGTACTGCTATTATGGATGCAGCCATCCTTTTAATTGCTGCTAATGAGCCTTGTCCTCAACCTCAAACACAAGAGCACTTGTTTGCTGTAGAAATTATGCAGTTAAACAGATTTATCATTATTCAGAATAAAATAGACCTTGTTACAAGAGAGCAGGCCTTGGAACAATATGATTCTATCCAAGAGTTTCTTCAGACTACTACTGCCAATAAAAGTCCAGTTGTACCAACTTCTAGTCAACTTGGTGTAAATATTTCAGCGGTTTTAGATTTTATAGTAAATTATATTCCAACGCCTGTTAGGTCACTTAAAGAAAGACTTAAAATGGTTATAATTAGATCTTTTGATACCAATAAACCAGGTACTCCAATTTCTGAGATAAAAGGTGGTGTTATTGGAGGCTCTTTAGTATCAGGAAAGCTTAATTTAGGAGATAAAATAGAAATAAGACCCGGATTTATTTACAAAACAAAAGAGAGAATAATTTGTAAGCCATATGTTACTGTTGTATGCCAACTTAAATCTGAGAATAATAAATTAGAAGAAGCTTACCCAGGAGGGTTAATTGGTGTAGAAACACAGCTTGATCCTTCATTATGTAAATCTAATAAGTTAGTAGGTCAGGTAATGGGAAAGTTTGGAGAACTACCACACATTTATTCTGCAGTTATAATAGACTTTACACTATTTCAGAAAATTGTTGTTCAAAGTAAGGAATGTATTGTAGAGCCTCTTAAGTTGAAAGAAAAATTATTTTTGAATATAGGAAGTGCTAATACAGGAGCAATCATAACAAGTTTAGAAGGAAGTCGTGTTAATTTCAAACTTTTCTATCCAGCATGTTGTGATAAAAATGAAAGAATAGCTATTAGTAGAAAACTTGGAGGGAATTGGAGATTAATAGGTTATGGTACGGTGTTTGATGGGAAACCAATCATTCCAGATTATAATTATGTCATAAGTGAGACTCCAGAGAAATAAATAATTTATTAAGAAATAGTTTTTATTCTTATAAAGGTTTACTAATCATGACGTAATTTTTATTTACTACACTACAAATTTGAGTATAATTTAAGATAAACAAAAAAATAATTCACAAAATTGATCTTTGGTAAAAAGCCTTTAAACAAGCTTATTACAAAGTTTTGAGTGATTATTAAAAAAAAGGAAATTCTATCAATTTACTAAAACTTAAATACTAATTTTTGATCAAAAGTGGAAAAATAATTCTCCTCCCTATCCTCCCCCTCGGAAAATACAGGTACTTGCTCACCTGGAATTATTGGTGGTCTTATTTCATTCCTTTTGTATCTTGTAAACCAGCTTGTAGTGGTAAAAATTGGCATATTTTTAAGTTTCTTGATATCTGTTAAGCGTTTTTCAGGTTGTTTAATTAATAGCCCTTCAACGACTTTTTTAATTCTCCTGTCACAATTAATCTTCACTTCTTTGTATAGAATTTGGTGATATAGGAAAGGGATTTCTCCTACGAATGGATATTCTCTCTTTGTCATAAAGTAAAGAAGCACTCCTAAACACCAAAAGTCAATTTCAAAGCCAAAAGGTCTTTTTAGAATTTTCTCAGGTGCTAAATATTCAGGAGTCCCAGCAGAGTTCTGACAGTTTCCATTGAAAAAAGTAGCAAATCCAAAATCAGTTATTTTAATATGACCTTTACTAGTCAAAATTATATTTTCTGGCTTCAAGTCACAAAATATTATATTTTTACTGTGAAGATTTTCAAGTGCTAATAAAATTTCCCCAAAATAAAAAGTTATCATTTCTGTAGAAAAAGAATATCTAGAAACCCAGAAAAAGAGTTCTGCACCTTTCACGTATTCCATTATCATATATAACTTAGACTTAGTCTCAAGAACATCGAATAATTTTGTAATATATTTACAGTGTCTCATTGATCTCATAGTGTCTATTTCATTCCTAAAGTTATTACACTGCCTTAGAAAGACCATCTGCTCGCGTGATAGCACTTTTATAGCATATTTTTTATCTCTATAAACAGTTGAATATACTCTACCAAACGAACCAGATGCTATAAACTGTTTATTCTTAAAATCAGATAACTTGAACATAGGGTTATGTTTTAATTGGAATTGGTGTTTTTATAGTAAATTTTATTAGATATTATGATTTAAGATAATACAACTGAACTTCTGTAAACTTACTTTCTATATGTATTTTATGAAATTGATTTTTTAGAGCTTACAAAATTTTTTTATTTCAAATTAATTGAGTCAGAATTTTTTTTTCTTAGAAAATGTTTTAAATTGTAATTTTTATAAAAATTTGAAATTAAACAGAAATTTGTAATTTTAAAAATAAGAGTTTTTTTTGAGTTAATGAGTTCAATTCTTTTGAATCAACTTTTTTTACAAATACGTACAAAGTTTCCCAATTTGATTTTATAAATTAACTAGTAAGCTTAGCACCCGTTTTAAAAACAGGTGGTTGAATAAATAAATTATTAACTATATAAACAATTTTTCTTCTTTATAATAGCTCTTTGTAAACAACATTTTCTATAAATACTTTCCCCTTTTCGGTGGGTTGTGCCTCCTTTTCAATAAAAATTTTTAAATTATTGTTATCTTTTACTCTAGAAAGAGCTACATATAATTGACCATGTGCAAAAACAGGCTGTGGTAAATAAAGACCAACTTTATCAAATGACTGTCCTTGTGCTTTATGGATAGTCATTGCAAACGCTGGTATTATTGGGAATTGTCTCCTTTTTAATACGAAAGGCAGCTGTGTTTCACTGGGTGCTATATCAATCCTCGGTATAACACAAACACTTCCTTTATTATTACCTTTAAGTATTTCACATTTAATTATATGGTCATGCATTTCCTGTATAATCATTCTAGTCCCATTTAAAAGTCCATTTTTTGGATCTATATTTCTTATTAACATTACAATAGATCCTATTTTAAGTCTTAGTTCATGAGGAGGCATTCCAGAAGGCTGTTGTTTGTTAATAAATTCAGTGGTATAATTATTTTTTAAATCTTCATCATCTGAAACCACTGAATCAGAGCTTAAGTAAACTCTTTCATCTCCACTAATTAAATTTGTTATATCATTGTTTATTTTATTCGAGAACTCATTTTTGGTTGTAAGTATTACTCTGTTGGCTATATCATTATTATTGTTATCTATTTTAGTACCAAATATTTGTTTTATTAAATTTTTGTTTTCGATATATTTTTTTGGTATCTCTATTAAGTTTGTCTTCCCATTTCCAACTTTCATTAACCACTTATTAAATTTTATTTGTTTGATGGCTCTCATATTTTCTTTTAATTTAATGATACAAACATATTTCCATAGAGGAGAGCTTTTTACTGAGTTCTCAATTATATCATTTTTACTACCATTAACAACAATATTGGCAGTCTGTCTGAAATCACCACCGAGTAATATAAATTTATTGCCAAACAGCTTATTATTTTTACAAATTCTCTTCAATAAATCATCAATGGCATGTAAAGCATGTTTTGACATCATGCTAACCTCATCTATAATGATTAGTGATGCTTCTTTTAAAATTTCTGCGTGCTTTGAATTAATATCCATTGATGATCTACTGTTTTCATATAACGGTATAGGCAGTTTGAATGTGGAATGGAGTGTTCTGCCATTTTCGAAAATATCTGCAGCTATTCCTGTTGTTGCAGATATTATCACTGATTTATCGCTGCCTTCTAAGTAGTTGATCAGTGTTTCATATAGGAAAGACTTTCCTGAGCCACCTGGTCCGTCAAGGAACATAAAACGCTTATCATCTCCTGTTTCAAGTCTTTTGATGATTTTATCAAAAGCACTCCTCTGTTCCCATTAAATAAGTTATAATTTGATAAATATTTTTCTATTTTTTTATCTTTGTTTATTATTTTTGGTGGATTATATTTGGTAGGAGATGGTAAACCAAGTATATTACAATTTAGACTGTGTAATTTAAATATGTTTTCAATTTCAATTAATGCTTGATTTTCAGCATCGTCTTGAAAGTCCTCTGTCATGTCTTCTATGAAATCATAGAAGAGTTTTTTGGTATTATGAGGTCTATTAAATACACAGATATAAGCAAATACTTGTCTTATTTGCCGAGGCTTTAATGTCATACATGCCTCTTCCATGCACCTATACCACTCACTATCAGTAGATAGTAATCCCAATGCCTCTGCTGCTTCCTCAAATGATTTATGCTTAATTTTATTAACTGTTAATAAGTCATTGAGTGACATAGCACCTTTTACATGTAATAGTATCATTCTTAGATAGAATCTTTCTCTATCATTAGGTGTGACTGTATACATTCGAGGAATAATGTTTGTTAAATTCCTCTGTCTTTTCTTCCAGAGGCCCTTTTCGAATGTATAGTACAGAGGAATTTCGGTATATAAATATTTATTGGCATCTTTATCCACCGTATTTAATTCAAACCATGCCATTAATTTAGAGGAAATTTTAGTTTTATTTTTTATTTCTTCCTTTGTGAAGTCCTCATTAAATATTATATTTTGTTGTTCAGGAAGATGAACAGGTAGTCTTCTTATAGCATGGGACTTATCATGCATTTTATATTCAAGAACCTCCACATTGCTTCTGGTGCACTCATATATCTGGTGCTGAGATACTGCTCAATCTCATTACCATTAAATAACTTTATATTTGCACAGTCATAACCTTTATATACATATTTAAATATATACTTTACTGATTTTATGCTCGAGCAGATTTCAACATTAATATGACAATTGTATTTCAGTAATAAGTATTTGTTGTATGGAACAACATTTCTATTGTCGACTGTGTATTTTTTATATTTATATACATGGCCCTTTCTTCTCATGTAAGTTGGATAACAATTGTCTCCAACTTTAGTATCCTCACAGTATTGCTTAGGATACTCCTTAGTACATTCACCATTTTCCATGCATGGTGAGTTTGAGTTTGTCTCCCCACAGGGACCATGTATCATATGTTTGAGTACTCTAGATTGCAATGCTTTATCATCATCTGGTATCTCTGCAGATACCACCTTATTTATTTGCTCAACTGTTTCTATTTTATTTTTTTTATCCAGAATAATTAATATGTGAGCATGTGGGAGGCCTCTTTTCTGGAACTCAATGGTATATATAAAAGCCTCTATCTTACCAAATATTTTATTTTTAATTAAGTCTTTTTTAAGCTCGTATAGTTTTAATTTAAATACTCGAGCTACTAAATCTGGCCTGTCAGATGCTGTTTGGCCATCAAAGAGGTTTTCTTTTATTTCCTTCCAGTTGGGATTACATGTCATTGTTATGAAAAGTCTGGCTTTCCATACTTCCCAACTATTGCCATCGCGTCGTTATATCTTCTCTCATGTTACGCGGAGAGCCTTGGAATGTTGATGGTAATATAATAGGATGGCCTATATCCTCTGTATCATTGTTTAGACTATCCATTAATCCTCTATATTTTTCTACTCTCAATTTTTTTTGATTGAGTCTTATATAGTTTAAATTATTGGCTTCTACCTGTAGATAAGAGTCTATGATCCATTGCTGGAATAGTCTTGAGCCATATAATAGAGGATTAAATTCATTTAGTCTGACTGCAGTCTGTGATACTTTGTGCTGCAGCATAGATATCTTTTTACCACCATTTGTTAGACTTGTACTCCATCCTTTTTCACCATATGGATAAAATAATGAGTATACCATTGGATCGAGATTATCACTTAGTATATCTATTTTTTCACTAAATATATTTTCTTTTGGATACACTTTTATATCTCGATCCATTGGTGGTTCTCCATTAGAGTCATTAAATACCATTGCTATTCGTCCGCCTTTTTGGTACTGAATCTCTTCTTAAGCAGTCCTTTTTGCCTGCTATCATCTACCAGCTCCATATTGAGATGGCCTGTCGATGTTTCTTTTTCGATCTGAGAGATATTTTTATAACTTTTAGCAAATGGATTTGACTCTCTCATTAAATTATCTAAGTTTTGTAAAATGTTTTTTTGACACCTGCATTTGCTTTATTATTTAATCTTATATTAGTTGCCATTTCATTATCGACAACATATAGCTGCGCATATTTCTTTTGACTGTCTCCATTAGATAAGGGATGGTAACTGTGATGGTAAGTTTGGCCATGTATCTTCAGACAATATGGACCACTACTATGCTTATTAGTCTTAGCACCAAATGAAGCAAAAGATACGGCACTGTTATAAGATCTAATATATTTTTTGAAGTTTTTGTGGTCTTTATTTTTTTTATTTGTTAACAGATCTTTTAGATATACGGGATAATCTGTCTTACTTTGAATGTTTACTTTACCACCATGGCAACAGCTTTTGAATATTTTGTTAGTAGTTCTTTCATCTTTAAAGTTTAAAGAATTACAGAAACTACATATTTTGTCCATTCTTCCACAATAGTGTTCTTGGACTTTATTCTCAGTCTCATTAATCACATTTTCAGTGATTTTTTTAATTTTAAAAATAACTTTAAGAGGTGATGATTTGCTATCATTCATGCATAAAAGCACGGATCAGCCTCTTTTTTGATAAAAAGATTATTTTTAAAAATGACTTTATTTTTGTTATAGAA